ACACCAATAGTACAGTGATATCTGCAATACAATCAACAACAACAAGATCACTACTTACTTTACGTTACACTTGACATCATTATGGCTCCCATTATGGAATCACTCCCAATCCTCCAAGAGAAGTCTATGGCGACTGTGACTGAGTATTCGGTATGCAACATTCATCAAAGCAGTCACTCAGAGAGTCAAAGCTAATGATGATTGTCTAGATTCCAAGTTCGCCCGATGGAGCTGTTACACCTTACGATGGTAAAACTCATGTTTTCAACATTGATATGCCTGCCTACTCAGACAAAGTCATGTTGACATTCAACAATGCGGTCAAGCAAACCACAGGGTTTGAAAGCGGCGCAACAAAGTTGAAGAACATGCTCAGAGACTCCAATGAGTTGATCGTTTGCCCTGGAGTTTATGATGGAATCTCGGCACGAGTTGCCCTGCAAGTCGGCTTCCCAGCCCTTTACATGGTACGTTTAAAGTTTCATGGCAGCACTAGCTACCCGTGGGGAAACACGATGCTAATCTTCGGGTTCAGACAGGAGCAGGTACCACTGCCTCCCGCTTGGGCATGGCAGATCTTGGCATAGCCCAATTGGCTGACATGAAGGAACATGCCGAGATGATTGCAAATCTTGATCCTTATGGCCCACCTTTGATTGCCGACATGGACACAGGTTACGGTGGTAAGTGAAACTGTGTACAAGATTCTTCACAAACAAATAGCTGACCCTTTCTCCAATGTGCAGGCCCTCTCATCATTGATAAAGCCGTTAAATCGTATATCAGAGCCGGTGTTGCTGGATTCCACATTGAGGACCAAATCCAAAACAAGCGTTGTGGACATCTCCAAGGCAAAAAGGTTGTTCCAGCAGAAGAATTCTACATGAGAATTCGTGCAGCCAAAGCCGCCAAAGAGGCCATGAACTCAGATATTGTGTTGATCGCACGCACAGATGCACTACAACAACTTGGCTACGACGAGTGCGTCAAGAGGTTGAAGGTCGCTCGGGACATGGGTGCTGATGTTGGTTTACTCGAGGGTTACACTTCGAAGGAGATGGCTGCAAAGACTGTAAAGGAGTTTGCCCCATGGCCAATACTCTTGAACATGGTTGAGAATGGCAGCACCCCAATCATTACCACCAAGGAAGCACAAGAGATGGGATTCCGTATCATGATCTTCTCTTTTGCTGCTCTCGCTCCAGCATACTTGGCAATCCAAGAGACTTTCTTGCGATTGAAGAGGGACGGTGTTGTAGGAACCCCAAAGAACCTGACGCCCAAGGCTCTGTTCGATGTTTGTGGTCTGAAGGATAGTATTGTTGTTGATACTGCGGCTGGTGGTGGAGCTTTTGCGGATGGTGTTTGAGTAGATGTAGTATCTTGTCCATATTCCCCAGTTTGTTTAGTTTCCTTCTGTTCACTCTAGTACCTGGTCGGTACTAGATATGGTGCAAGTATATTATAGGGGTTTCGTCAAATCGTCAAAGTAGATTTTGTTATATACACAATGCATCTTACTGTTTCTTCATCAATGATATTCTGGACAGCGAATATGTTTATAATGTGCACGTATACCATTCAATTGAACCGTTATCATCAAAGTACCTGCTTGGACAGGAAGGTGTCAAATTGTGGCGTTTGTGGCACTGATTGAGAGTTGTGGCACCGCGATAAGGTTGCTATAAATAACTCTCCTCCACCATTTTCACCCAGATGGGACTCGGGAGATGGGCTACTAGTAGATTTGCTTACCATCTTGCTGGTATGTATGGGGAAGCTGGTATTCGGATACCATATCGACTTACCATATCCAGAACACACTAAGCCTTTTCGAATTACAGGTTTCCTCTTCCTCTTACCCTTACCCTTACCTAGGTAGGTACTTTCTACTTTCTACTCAAGTATTCGCAGGCGGATGAATCAGCAGAAACGTCCAATACTCTCTCTATCCACTTTCGAACTAGCGAGTCCACCCATTCGAAGGTTTCCTCGTCTCTATTATTAGCCAGCCTTGTAGAGAAAGAGACAATTAGTAGATTGAGAATGGATCCCACTTAGTCGTACATCCAGATCTCATTCCAGGATAAGGAACGTGTGTTTTGGATTCGGTTAATTTAGACGTTAGCCGGCTATTGGCTATTGGCTATTGGACCAACTTTACAGCTGAAGATATGCAGTGGCACCTGATGAAGAATCTCATGCAAGTAACATAACAAAGGGTAAAATCTTGGTAAATGGTACGGAGACTTCATCTCCCCCTATGACCAATCGAGCCAGTCTACTCAATTATCTGCATACCGGATTGCCTCATGATAACCTTGTGGGCCAGTCTCGAAAGCTTATCCCCTCCATGATCGCAGACGTGTCAGCCCAAGAGATGACGTATGAGTAGGCCATCATGAATCGTGATAGAGGTCCCCTCCATCTGCTTGGTAACGTGTAACCCATCCCACCTGGAACCTTTCTGCTCAGAATCTATATAAGACTTCATCTCTACCTTCGTATTTTCTTCCTTCCTTACTTATAAAATATATATCGACTACCTAGTAACTAGACTTCACAGTCTTGATCAATCAATACACCTTCAGACATACACTACTCCACTGAACCCCTCACAAGCCAAAACATCACCATGTCTGCGTCTTCCTACATTGTACGAACGCTCCGTCCATTTCTGACATATATGGACATGCAACTGACTCACTATACCTAGGTCGCAGTCAAGAAGAACCTTTCAGAGGAGCAATATGCTGCGTACGAACTCAAAGTATCTCCAGCAACGGCAAAGCAGATTACTTACAAATATTGTAGAACCAAAAAGGCTGTCGAAGAGCAAGGGTGCAAGGTTACGCACGATTACGAACGCGAAAGTGTCATGCCAGGTTTTGTGTAATACATTACAGTTTCTTACTTGCGTATTCTCTTTCTAACATCTATGCAGTGTCGACATGCCGCAAGGCACCGTCTCAACCTTAGAAGCGCACGAACACATAGATTTTGTGCAAACAAATGGCGAGGTAAAAACCCAACAGTGATAGACGTCAAATGAAGAAACATGACTATTTTTGAGGTGGAATGGGAGTTTATGGGAGCATTATGTATTTATCTAGTAATAGAGAATCAACTGAAATTGGGACATTCATACCGTTTTCCTCCAAGAATTTCCTAGGTGTTGGTCTTCTGTTTAGCGAGTCCAGTGTCGACAACAGAAGAATTGTACGCCATGTCATGTTGTTACAAACATTTAACAAATTCCCCGATCCCCAATGTCACCATGAATAATTGTTTTCGAAGTTTGAGCTCTGCCCAGCCTGCAAAGAAATGGTTCCATTATCCTAGATCAGCTTTAAGATATGCCAGCACCGCCCGGTATCCATCGCCTTCAGCTCATAAATGGTCACATCCTCCAAGCTCAACCACCATTGCAGACAGCGAAATCGCGAATCTTGCGAGCAAACCTCTACATACATTGAGCTTGGCAGATTTGGTCAAGTCCGTGATATTATTCCCGATTTCTCAAAATATTAACCATTGAACAGACATGGTCGCCCATCCTTATCAACAGAAGCCTTGTTTTCATCTGCGAATTTCACGCTCGATCTCCTTCCCATCCGCCTTGCGCACAGAATACAAGCGTTGCGAAATCTGCCATTCATTGTAGTATCAAATCCAAACATCTCAAGAATCTACAACAATTATCTCCATTCATTATCCACCCTTTTGCCATACAAAACTATATCTACCTTGGAAGACGAAATAAGGTTCACGGAGGTGTTGGCAGATTTGGTGGAAACACACTCGCACACAATTCCAACTCTTGCAAGAGGTTTTCTTGAATGCCGAAAGTACATCAGTCCGTCTGAGGTGACGCGATTTCTGGATGAGCATCTTCGTGCTCGAATAGGTACTCGATTGATCGCAGAGCAACACATCGCATTACATCTCTCATCTCAACCTCACCAGATGGGGCATTCCGAGGCGGAGCCATCATCTTACATTGGTGTTATAGATACAGCTTTAAACCCGGCGTCAATAGTGAATTCATGTGGAAATTTTGTCTCAGAAATCTGTGAACTCAAATACGGCGTCCGACCGAGTTGGATCATCGATGGAGAACCGGAGACAACATTTGCATTTGTGCCAGTGCATTTAGAATACACAATTACTGAATTACTCAAAAACGCGTTCCGTGCGACCGTCGAATCTGGTAGGTCTAATGAACCAGTAGTTATAACGATAGCTGCGGAGCCAGAGCTCTCTACGATAAATGATACACAGAGTAAGTCTAGCCTGGGTGTAATTCTAGATGGCAACCCCCCAATCAAACCGTTCGAAGATTCCGCTCCCGGTGTTACCATTCGTATTCGAGACCGAGGAGGTGGAATCAGTCCTGAAGTTTTACCAAACGTATGGTCATATTCATTTACAACATTTTCGGAAGAAGACGAATTACCCGGGCAAAGCCACAGCAACGGGAGCATGGATGCTTTGAATGTTTTATCAGGCGCTGGGGGTGAGAGTAGCTCGATTGCTGGGCTAGGATACGGGCTACCACTTGGAAGAGCATACGCTGAATATTTTGGGGGTGGTATCGAAATTCAGTCGCTTTATGGATGGGGCTGTGATGTTTATTTACGACTCAAGGGCCTCGGAAGACCAAATAAGTAAATTAAGTCAATACATGGTTTCAAAGATATGATCATAGGTGGCGAAATAAGTCCTTTCAAGGATGGAATTCAGCTGAGGTCGACAGAAATCATTGTCATTGAATCACACCCAATTGTTTTTTAAGGTGTGGTAGAAGTATGAAAGCGGAGTTTGACAGGGCTACGGAGTGCGCGGATAAGCACTCCCTGCGTTTGAACATGCGCTGGGCGCTTCATTCATCCTTGAAAATAATTTAGGCAATGGCAACCTTTAATGAGGCTTCCAGTGCCCGTAAATCCATCTCTCTATTTTTTATTTTTCGTATTCTGCTGCATAGTTTGGTTTCCAGTATGGAAGGTCTTTCCAGTGCTTCAGCTGCCTTCGCTGTTATATCCCTCGCCGTCCAGTTAGCCGAAAGTGTCAAAAAGCTAGTTGAGTTCTGGCAGGCTGTCGAAGATGCACCAGGAGATATTTGTGACCTCTTCGACGATCTGGAGTTTTTTTCGGCGGCCCTAATTCAAAACCAGAAAAAGTTTGCTCAACATAGCCCCTATGATCTGATTGCCAAGCGAATCTTAACAAAATGTCAAAAGAGGATTGAACAACTTTCGTCAAAACTGTCTCCTACGATGGCCGCATTTACCTCATCTTCGTCTCGCAAGAGGAAGTGGGCTGCTCTGAAAATTACTTTGAAAAATGAAGAAATCAGAAAAATGCGTGCGTCGGTAGGAGAATCTTTGGTGGCCGTGCAGATGATCAAGCAAGATGCTATTTTGTAAGTTATCTATCCATGATTCTGAGAAATTTTCTGATCTCAATAGTGATATGGTGGAAATAGCTCTCCGACATCAAGAAGCTACCTCGAAGGGTATGAGCGCGATTCAAGAGTTTGTAGTACAATACTCGCAAAACCACAGGCATATGGATAGGTCCACATCGCTTCTCCCCTCATATCATATGTCCATACTCTCAGCGGGCGGGGATACTTTAGATGCAAGCCTGCCATCTTTTTATCAGGGCAGTAAATTCCATGTCTGTTCCCAGACTACCGACACCGTGGTCTTGCGGAACAATCTATCTGCGCCCTCGGGAGGAGTCTCTGTCAATAATGTCAAGGAAGAAATCACTGCTCAAAGGGTTTCTAAAATGCAGTCGTGGGAGGCTGACGGCCAGACACCTATCTTCTCATTTCGAGCCAGGTCCTCATCGACAAAAAAGACAAGTAGACACGTACTGGGTTCTCGGGAGACAGTGGAGACAAAAGTTGGCGTAGTCTTCTATCCAGCCAAATGGTTACATCGCCTGGGTGTAAATGTGGGGATTCGCATGTCAGCAACCGTTGATAATGGTTGGATGTTCACATTCAATTCCTTTGGTGCTGTTCCCGAGGATGCATTGATTTTCGATCTTTGTCGACAAGGCAGTGTTGCGGGTGTCAAGATTCTTCTGGATCGTGGCGACGCATCTCTAGAGTGTGAGAATCCGCAGGGTGAAACACCGTTATGGGTAGGCTCTCTAACGCTCCTTTGGCTCCTTGGAATTTGTCGCTTACACGTTCCAGACTGCTGTTCACCATGGTCAAATCGATGTCGCGAGATTTTTGATTGCCGCTGGAGCCAAGAACACCGCTGATAGCGAGATCTGGCGAAATAATGTCGTGCTTGATGCTCGGCTGAAAATTGCCATGATCGAGACTTTAGACGTTTACTGTAAGCGCAGGGATAGTATATATGGTAGTATTGGTAGATTGTCTATCTTCTACAGTCCAAGCAAACGACTCGATATGACACAAGAAGAATTCTCCGACAACATGTTATGTGTATTTAAAGCCCTAACACCATCTCTACGCACAAGTAACATAGCTCAATTCGAATATCTTCGAGGCATGGTATCAGAAGGTCACGAAGGGAAGCTCATACATTGGTTGATAAGCAGAGTCAAAGGAGCTTTCGAAATAGTGAATGGCAGCATCAGCTCTTATTCTTTACTTCACTATGTAATCGGGGCCCGGTTTCTTCATAGAGATCAGCTTTCTGTGAAAATGATCATGGAGAGGACAGCAAACTTACACATCTGCCATGGTTATGGGCCTTGGGGCTCATACGAACCACAGACCCCAACAGTTCTTGCTATGTATGACCAAGATATGTTCATTTCATGGCGGAAGCTTCTTCAAGAAACAAAACAAGACATGAGTGCGTTCATTGAGCGGGAGCTCGATGCTAAACTTTTGTCCTCTAAGGGCTGGACGAAAGCAACACTAGGGGCCTTGTTCCGACATCACTTCAACACACCCATTTACAAGGGAAGGAGAGCCTTCAATGGATTTCCCCAATGTGACAGATGCGGTCATCTCGATATCATTGTTGGCATGATGCGTCTCAAGATAGATCTCGAGTTCAGGAGGCAGCTTCGAGAAATCAGAACTGGTCGTGCTTATACGCCCTCTTCTTCGCATACAAAAGCTGCGGAGGATGGCTCAACCTGGACCGTAATGGTTGACGAAAGTGAAAACACGATTCCCAACAGCCAACGAAAGACATGGCCACCATTACCTTATCGCTTTGTATGCTCTGATAAATGCAAAGATGGCATATCTGTTCACGATGTATTTGAAAACGACTTAGAAGACTCACCAGTGTTTCCGATATATGTTTCTGAGGAGGAAAAAGTGCGCCTGGAACACTTACGCTTAGCAGAGGAAGAGGTAAAGTGTCCTACTTATACGATGCCTGGGGCTTTCACTCCATAATGCTTTTGATGTTCACATTTGTATTTGGTAATTGAATTGTCGTTCAGACTTGAAATCTTGCTCTGGTGTACGATTCACACTGTTCATCTCGTAGCGGGTTCTATTTGGGCAATACACATAATACTCAGCAATTTTCTCGTAGCCAAAAGTGTCACATTCCTAGCCTCACAGCTTGAGAAGGGATCGAACACGCGAAGAAAACACAACAAGGCAACTGAGGGTCGAAGTTGCATTGCGATAATTTCTCTAGGTGCATTTCATCAATAGTTTTTAAAGCTTCCCAAATGGTTTCCGATTCGAATAAAAAATGGGACCTTTTTCTGGGTTCAGCACTTTTCGAAGTCTCTATCTATATCGACCTTAAAATCATCACTTATGCTTCAAAGTTCAATTTTCTGTTTAACAATCAACTGATTATTTAGATTCTGCGTTTTGATCGGCTGACGTTGTAGGCGCGTAATTTCCAGGGGCCTGTGGATCTATCGTGTCGGTAACCCTGTCATGCATCTTCGCTTCTGCATCCTACCACATCGAATAAAATGATTCGATGTCAGCAAAGGATGCGCGTTTCAGCTGCATGAGGAGGGCGAATTCCGAATTTAATCCTTTGTCGGGCTATGGAGGCAGTGCCAATTGTCTTGACTGGGTATAAAATGTGTGTGCCTTATATAAGGCTTCTCGCACAATCGTCCTATTTGACTATAGCTTATCCTTCCCGCTACTTTCTAGCAACCTCATTCGTCATGGATGGTCTTTCTAGTGCTTCCGCGGTCTTTGCTGTTGTGTCTGTTGCTGTCCAACTTGTAGAGACTATTCATAAGTTAGTCGACTTTTGGAAAGCGGTCGAAGATGCTCCGGATAACATTGCGAGTATCTTTCGAGAACTTGCACTACTTTCCAAGATCTTGACGAAAAGCCACGAGCTAGCGCAACTCCACTCGTTTCCTGAAATATTCGATGAAGCCTTGAAAGACTGTTGCTCCAAGATCCTCAAACTTCATTCAAAAGTAGAAAACACGAGGCGGAACCTCAATTCTTCAAAACTACGAAAGCGGAAATGGGCGGCTTGGAAGATTGTGTTGCAGAAGTCTGAAATAGACTCTTTACAAAAGTCCATCTCGGAAGCGAAAACAAATATACTACACATTCAAGTCAATAACATTTTGTAAGAATTTCAGATAGATATGTGTCGATGGATGCTAACTTGATATTCGGTAGAGCGCGGCCACCTTCGATAACTAACGTTTACCAAATTTTTCAGCAGAGCTCTGAATTGAGCACTCAGACATCTGGAAAGACGCAAATAACTGAACAGCAGCTCGCAAATATTTTAACAGGAAAGCATATTCCGTCGAGTCTGTCGGCCGGATGCCTTGATGAAAAGCTGGTGCACTTCCGCCCTGACCCGATAGAACAAAGATTTACATGGCAAGATGATGATAAACGATGCAATCAGTCACCACTCGAATGTGCAGTCGCGGCATCGCCCAAACCAAGAGGGATCGGTTCGCGAAAGCGCAACGTCTATGTTTACAAGAGACGTCAGATTACTGGACCATTCTCGAATTTCTGGAAAGAATCTTTGATATCTACAGAAGAAGTCGTCCACGCATCTGGGGTCAAAGAAACCGTGGAAGAAGAATCTCAAATGATCATATACCCTTCAAAGTGGCTTGCTAAACTTGGCGTTAGATATGGCATCGAGTTGTCTATTCTAGCATCAAGAGGATGGCGATACTCTTTCCAGCCCTTTCGCGCAGTTCCTGAGAGCTCTTTAATCTTTCAATTCTGCCGTGAAGGTAATCTTGGTGGTGTCAGAACGCTACTCAGTAGAGGAGACGCTTCTCCTTATGATAGGGATCCATTAGGACGGACTCCATTATGGGTAGTACTCTCGTTTGGGACATTTTTGAACAATCGTTGACGTATAATATACAGTATGCCGCTTTCCACCATCAAATGGATATATCGACTTTACTGCTCTCAGAGGGTGCAGATGTACAGGTAGGGGAATGGACAAAGCGAATGTAAGTTGTTTCCAGTATTTCTACAAGTCCTCATTTTAGGCCGATGATTAGGTCTTGGTCGTTGCATCAATTTGCGATGTTCGAATTCCTTGGATATTTGAATGCCCTGGGATGTTCTTTCTCTGAAGTGCTCACGCAGCTTGGAACGTCTATTTGATCTGAAATGCAGTTTTTGTGCCATTCAATCATTTTAGGGATTCGAAAAAGTCGACACACATTATATTGAACTCAATTGAGATATGAGCAAACATCATGCTAATATTAAGTGCACTAGCAAACCCATCGGTGCTCTCTATTTAGGTGAATGCAATGATGTAAAATTGAAAATTGCAATGGCCGAGCTTCTGGGACGTTATGATACAGAAGACGAAGAATTCAAGTACCATATAATTCAGAGGTTTCTACTGTTCTTTCGACATGGCAAAAAGTTGGGTCTTTCCTACACCGAAAGAAATGAGGCGGCACTTTATATTGTCCAGCAGATAGGTTTCCTCTACCTACGAACCCCCGCCGACCTTTGCATGTTTCTTTGGAGCTACATCTTGCCCTGGCTTTACGATGGCCCAGTACTACAGTGGGTTTTACACAGTGTACCAGGCAAGATACATAACATAGAGCAAAGACCGATACTTCATGAAGCTTTAAAAAAAGGCCTGCTGTTGCGGGATTCTTTAGGAACGAAGACCCTTGTTGATAAAACTACGACGGCAGATCTACATCTTTGTTTTGAGGGACTATCCAATTATCCTTCCATTTGGGGAGAAACGCCGACTATGCTAGCAATGTACAGTCGGAGAGGGTTTTTGGTCTGGCGTACTATTTTGAGAGATCTAGAGTTTGATATATCAGACTTCGTCACTCGAGAGCTAGCAGCGATGAAATCACAGTATGATGGATGGACCCAAGATACGCTCATGGAATTATTTGAGAAGGACCCACCTGTTTCTCCTCTCCCCGAGCCAGATAGTCAAAATTTACCCGGTTTCCATGACTGTGATAGATGCCAGCAGCTTATGTTCCGAGGCGCTATACATCAAAAAGTAGATCTTGAATGGAGGCGCACACTCCGATCAATTAGAACGGGAAAAAAGGACGTGCAAATCGTCGATCATGATTCGTCGTTGGCAGGAGAAATCAGCGCTACTATCATCGATCGCACTGATAAGAATACTACGGAAACAAGTTTCGGTAAGTCTTCTCCAGAATGTCTGACATCCAGAACCAAATACTGTGCTTGGCTTCAATTTTTGTATATCTATTTTTCTTATGCAAACATTGAAGTTTTGAAGTGGTCTGAGCATTTAAGTCGAGTCTGATTCAGTATCCTCGATTAGACTCGATGTTCATGTCAATTCAAATACTTTCAATTTGACGTGGATGGACATAGAACTTCATACTGATATCGAAACTATAGATCCACTGCCCTATCGTTTGGTCTGTCCCAATGATTGTGAAGACGGAGTTTGTGTGGCGTGGGAATATGAGGGTTTTGAGCCGCCAAGTTTCCCACCGTACATCCCAAAAGAGGAAAGAGAACGTCTCAGGCAATTACGCTTAGCTGAGGAGGAAGCGAAATGTCCTACTTATAATATGCCTGGGGCTTTCACTGTTCAGTGATATGACCTGCAGTCTAAGCTAAGAAGTTCTGTATATCAGATCTCCCTTTGGTTCGAAATCCGTTGGAATTAGATGAATATCAGAAACCCTATTTGAAGAGAATATGAAAGCCAACTCACATACTTGGTCGATACCAAAGTACTTACCTGAGAGGGCTTACTATACTCATTACTGGCCGGGCAACGAATGCCGGTCGCCATGCAAATTAATATCCTGGGTTTGACCTGGTCCTCCAGATCAAGTGAGAAGTGTGGCGATTACGATATTGCGACATAGAGAAGCAGTCTTGTGCTATTTATCGGCACCTTCATGGCCAGTTTTAGTATTAATGTCGAATTGGAGATTTGAGGTCGAGATCGAGATCGAGGTACATCTAATTTATAGATGGCTTCGTTCAATTTGAGAGACATATCGAGATATAAGAATATATTGAACGGTTGATCGGAAGCTACAATGGACATTCGAAGAAAAGTCCTGGGATTTCTCAATTTGTATTCTAGATTTTAGAGACCTTACGTGTGTCACTTGTGATATGTTTGTGCATACTATAAATCGTCAACTGTTAAACTATCAAGAACAAATGGTCCAAACTGCGAGATGCGAAATGAATAATTCCTCCAGAGAAAGTTCATGTGGCTATTAGCTATTGGAGCCCGCGTGTAAAAAGGGCGATTCACGAGGGAGTAACACCATTGGCATGGCGGCTTTTGTATTTCTATTGTCCTACATGATATTTGGCAGATCTGATTTCTAAGATGGGGTCTGATGGTTTGATGGGTTGAAACTTGGATGAAGGAATTTAAGACATTCAGATGAAGTCCTGTAGATTGTGGTGGTGGTTTTTCTTCTACAACCTGAACCGGACGTTTGCCCAGACAGACAGTCCATCAAGATAAGATTTAGAAAGGCACAATCTTGAACAAGACCGTTTTGAAAATAGATTCCGGATAATTCACACATATGAGTCAGGATTTGCAGCTGTCCACGCAAGAAGCAAAATCATATATTAGTGCATAGTATCTGAAAACATCGCATGAATTGCTGGATGATCTGAATTCGAATTGCAAAACTACGAGTATTGATATGCTTCATAGACTTGAATCCCGAGCACAGATCTCTCAGTAATCATCCCGTTTCAACCATGGTTTACAGGCCGCATGTACCTTTCCCAAAGAGTCCTTCATCTCTACTAATCGGGCGAAGATTTTTGCATCGATCCTGTTCATCATTTGTAGAGTAGCAACGATGAAGAAGTCTGCATAGGTCGCTATCACATTATCTTTGTTAGCTTGTTTTCATAAATCCGGTATTCCAAATTTGACTCACGTGTCTCTCCCTCAATAAATGGACCACCCTTAGCTTTCAATAACTTCCCTAATTCGCGAACGACTGGCTCAGCATCTCTCCAACGCTCCTCTTTGCCTTCCTTTTCGCCATATTCGTATATATCCATACCGACTCTTTCCTTTCGGGTCTCTTCAAAATAGGCACGTGAAGCGTCATTTAAGAGTCCCTTGGCAAGGAGAGGCAGCCAGAGTGGACGAATTGAGAGTTGAAGCTTGGGAATCAAATCTTCGACTTGAGAGAGTTCAGGAGTCTCGATTTTGAGAGATGGAGTAGGGTAGCGCTGTTCTAGGAGGGTAGCAATGGTGCTGGAATCTTGGACATAGTCTATTTCTGGGATTTGGATTGTGGGGATTGTGTATTGGATACCAGTGGTGTTTGGCTGGACGCGGCTGTATGGGGAGAGTGATTAATAGCATGGTAGGAGAGAGATACGGGAACTACGAACAGAGATTTGAAGGTTAGTTCTATATCTGGATATTCGATCCATGTTGTTTTGTATGGTAACCCTTTGTAATTTAGAAGTAGACGCGCTTAGAGATGTTAGCTTAGAAACAAGAGTAGAGATAGGTTGTTTCACATACTTTTCAACGCATTATGTGACCAACTTGCACAGTGATCTTGGCTGGCTAGATCATAGAGAGTGAGTTCCGAACTGGCCGTTTGAGTACCGGTTTGAGACATGTTTGTGAATTTGGGACTGGGTAACGTTAAGTTCCCTTGGGACTTAAGTTGTTGTAGGGCTGTTAACGAAAACCATGAGTAATCTTTACAATATGAAGCTTATATACCCCGCATTGTCGAAAGCTATCATAGGAGCTTCGGTTTGTCATATGCAGGGCCCAATCTCACATGAGTGAGTGAAGAATCACCGATACAATCGGAAAGAGCACCGCTGGTTCAAGAATGATTAAAGTGTGTGGTAGATCTTTATATCTTAGCTACTTGCTACTTGAAGAAAACAGATATCAATATACTATTTCATTCTTCAAGGAAGTACCGGTAGCCAAAAGATGCAGTGAGATTGATTGGAAGTTTTGGATCACGTGTTAGACCGCGCACTTAAGGTTTAGCGCGATTCTCCCCGCCATCAGTTCTTTTTGGTTTCCACCTGGTGCGTTATCATATCAACTCTGTCTTCGTAACACCACTACAAATCTTTATTGACATCTCCAGATATAAAATTTCTACAAATCTTTCATTATGGGTTCCGTTGTTCTTCCTCATCTCGTCACTGGCTGGCATGTCGACCAGGCTATCATGTCAGAGGAGGAGAGACTGGTAGTGATCCGCTTCGGACGCGATGTCGACCCAGACTGTATGCGACAGGATGAAGTGCTTTACAGTATGTGCTATATGTTCTCTGTATTCGATGTCCCTTGCCAGACTATGAGCTAACGAATGTGAAACAGAGGTTGCTGAATTAGTTAAAAACTTCGCCGTCATCTACGTCTGCGACATCGATCAAGTCCCCGATTTCAAAACTATGTACGAATTATATGATCCGGTGACGACCATGTTCTTCTTTCGAAATAAACACATGATGTGCGATTTTGGAACGGGTAATAATAATAAGCTGAATTGGGTGCTGGAGGATAAGCAAGAGATGATTGATATTATCGAGACAATTTATAAGGGTGCTAAGAAGGGTCGAGGTTTGGTTGTTAGTCCTAAGGGTATGTGGCATTTAACTTTCTTAATTCGTGTTTAGAATCAAGGGAGTAAACGTATGACATTGAGGACGAAGGCTAACTTTGTGGCAGATTATTCGACTAGATACCGATACTGAGCTGCTCATTATGACGGTGTTGTGGCAAGAATGTATTTGCGGCCTCTGAATGTGAACACTCAGTGGATGTAAAGAAGGGCGTTAATGGTGGATTAATCTGACGGAACATGGATCCAGAGGATCGTAAAGGGTTGGTCTCACACAATGAATTTTATAATCGTACCTGAAGATGCTAATACTGCTTAAAGTATGTGAACGTTCCCAAAGCTATGTGGTAGGTCGATTTCTCCTATTTTTTGACAGAAAAGAAGTTTGGTCATATATTGCGCTCTTTCCTTGCAACCTTGCAGATATTTGTTCTGTGCGTAAGATACAATTCGAGGGCCTTTTGAAATCTCCGCAAGCTGATAGCGTATATATACTATCAAGTAGTAGTACTACTATGCGATCCAGCTCGAGAGAAGAATGTCTTGGTTCCTCAAAACCAGACTTTAATGGCGCAACGCAATAGTGCAAATGTCTAAATATTCGACAATTGAGAACCAACTCCATAATTCAGCTCGTTCATAAGGACTCATGTAAGTTAAATTACTATACAATATCTTCTGTTCGGATGTATAACCGATTATCCGGGGTACTTTTACCATCTCCACCGGAAAAATGTTTGAGCGAGTAATATCCGATACCCCTCTTTACTCAGTTCCACACCTTGAGCTTAAACTCCCATGCATCTTTGCATCGGAATTTCAAGGGGGTTACTTCGCTGGAGTTGACCTCCGAGTCTAGCTTCCGCATTGTCATCCACATAATTGGGTGTTTTTTTGCCTCTCAAAATGCGGAGGCACACTTTCCGCTTTTCCATACCGTTCCTTAGATACTCTTTGGATTAGCCAAGTGAAAAAGATCTTATTATTTGCTCATGACCCACGATCCTGGATCTTCTCCAGACGGCATGCGTCAACCATCCTGGAAAAAGGTTCGTCCAGCTGTATGCCAAGATCATTGAGGAACCCTTGTAAATGATTTTGAGGGGTAAGTAAATTTCTCATTACTTTAAAAGAGTCTGGAAGCTCCTCAATTGTGAGTATCGCTGTTCAAGGAAAGCTTTTCAGTCTTCAGGATGAAGTCTTTTTTCATAGCTCTTATTTCCCTCCTCCCTTTGGCGACTGCCCTTCCCCTAATCTCCTCAGAATCCCCAAATGCACAACCCAAATCACTCTATCCATTTTCCTCCAGCGGCAGTAATGCTCAAGTAGCTGGTCGTCTCTTCAACATCGATGGGAAAGTCCAATATTTTGCAGGCACAAATGCTTGGTGGCTTGCACATCTTTCATCGAACAGCGATGTAGACCTCTCATTCTCACAAATGGCCGCTACAGGCTATAAAATTGTACGAGTATGGGGCTTTGGCGACGCAAATACTCCTCCACCTTCCACCAACACGGATCCAAATCTTGTATACTTTCAGATCCTTAACTCCACAGGAGCATATATAAATTATGGTGCCGATGGTCTTCAGCGACTAGACTATGTGGTCCATGCAGCTTCTAAGTATGGCCTGAAGCTGGTGTTAAACTTTGTTAACAATTGGGGTGATTACGGTGGAATAGCTGCGTATACTAATGCTTTCAATTGTTCGTCAACATCGTTCTACACCGATGCAACTTGTCAAAAGGTTTATAAGAACTACGTCAAAACAATCGTCACTCGTTATCGCTCTAGCACTGCCATCTTTGCTTGGGAACTCGGTAATGAACCGCGCTGCAATGGTTGCGAAACATCTGTCCTTACCAAATGGGCTACAGATATATCAAGCTACATCAAATCCCTCGATTCAAATCATATGGTTACATTGGGCGATGAGGGATGGTTTGCACCCGCTGATGGAATCGGTGATGGGAGTTATGCTTATGGAGGTGGAGAAGGT